TGAAATTTGAAAATCAAAATTGCCTTGGAAATAATTGGCTCTTTAAGATACATTACGTATTCTTCATATTATGTTAAGTCACTTTATATAAACTTTGTTTCCTAAATCATTGCATTTTTTAAAATGATTTTATTTTTTTATTCATGAGAGACACACAGAGAGAGGCAGAGACACAGGCAGAGGGAGAAGCAGGCCCCTTGCAGGGAGCCCGAGGTGGGGCTTGATCCTGGGACTCTGGGATCACGCCCTGAACAGAAGGTAGACGCTCAACCACTGAGCCACCCGGGTGTCTCTCAATCACTGCATTTAAAAGTATGCTCAGGGGATCCCTGGGTGGCGCAGTGGTTTGGTGCTTGCCTTTGGCCCAGGGGTAATCCTGGAGACCCGGGATCGAATCCCACATAGGGCTTCCGGTGCACGGAGCCTGCTTCTCCCTCTGCCTGTGTCTCTGCCTCTCTCTCTCTCTGTGACTATCATAAATAAATAAAAATTAAAAAAAAATTAAAAGTATGCTCAAAAAAATAAAGTATGCTTAAAGTTTATAGTTCTATTAATTTCCCAGTTTTATTGAGATATAATTGACACATAGCCCCATGCAAGGTTCAGGTTATAGCATAATGATTTAGCTTACATGTATCATGAAATGATTACTACAATATGTTTGGTTCATATCCATCATCTTATATAGATATTTAAAAAAGAAATTGTTTTTTTTCTTTGTGATTAGAACTTTTGGGATTTACTCTCTTAACAACTTTCAGATATCCCATACTCATACAACTTTCAGCAGTGTTAATTATAATCATTATGTTGTACATTATATCTGTTATTTATTTTATAACTGGAAGTTTGCACTTTTGACCACTTTTATCCAATTCTCCTTATCCCATATTTTGACTCTAGTGGACACACATTTGATCTCCTTTTCTGGGAATTCCTTCCTTCTTCCCTCCCTCCCTCCTTCTCTCTCTCTCTCTTTTTCTTTCTTTCTTTTTTTTTTTTTTATAGAGCACACGCCCAGAAATGAGTTACTGTATTGGTGGACATGATCCTGAATGGCATGAAGAAGGTTGTGGTAGCACAGTGTGGAAGAACAGGAGTCTGTCTAGAACCCAGGGCTCTCCTGGAGCATCTCTTGGTGTTTTCATGCCTACTGATGAGTCTAATGGGCAGCTGCAATAAACCCAAAATTGACAACCATAAAGCAGGGAGCTCCAAACTCTCATGAAGCAAGCCCTGTAGACTGAAGTTCTAGCCAATGGTGAGAAAAGCATAAAAAAGATGATAGAGGGAGGAGCAAATAAATATCACTTGTACCTTCTGGACTCATCGCAGCAGTGGAGACAGCACACAATTAGCTTTTGCATATTAAATAGTGTTGTGTATCCCAGAAAAAATTTGAAAAATAAACATATTATGTTTTTATTTTCTAATTGTTGCTACTGTAAATTTCACGTGCTTGTCTATATTTGTTCTTCCGTATGCATGCCCTAGCCAAGCTGGTCTGCTCACTGATACGCCCTGTGTATTCCTTTCTCTAATCTTTTCCATCCATAGACCCACATGCCATCCACAGCCTCTACTCAATGGCATCATTTATAGCCTATCTTCCTTTCCAGCCCTTGCCCTAAATTTTTTTCTTTCATTAATTTTCTATATATTTGTTCCTTCTCTGTGCCTATTTTGCTCTTTTGATAAGATAGGAATATTAATATCAAACTCAGTATTTGTGTACATTAAGTGAGGTCAATGTAGGGAAATAGTGAATAAGTGATAAAGCACTACAAAATATAAATATCATTCATATTTTCTTATATTTTTCAACATCTTATTATACTTTTATCATTATTTCCTGTGCTATTATTTATTGTCACTGTTACATCAGTTATCACGTTTTTGTGCCTCCTGTCTGTGTACATATTGCCTTTTTACTACATTTTTAGGGCTTTTAAGAAGCAGTCACTATTTATTTATGGATCTTCCACCAGCACAAAGCTGGCACCTTGTACATGAGAGATCCTCAGTGATGTCGATGGGATAAATAAACGCTATTACATAATTGATCCTAATATTTGGATATTGGATTATAAACTATTCCACAGAGAATTTTAAAATTAAAACAGCAGAGTATAAATGATGGTCCAGACCATGTATATGCTTTATTAAGAAAAATGCTCAACCAAAGAGCACATCCCTCTTGCACCGATATGCTCCAGTCCTCCTGCAACTCATATAAATACACATCTTGAAGGAGTCTGTTGAATCTGCTACATATAAAATGCAGTTCAGATCCAAACTTCTCTAAGAGACCTCTAGACCCCTCAGACACAGTTCATCACATTTCCTGACTTTCTGTGTCATCTATTTCAGCTATAGACTCTGCTTCACCTGTTGTCCTGCATGCAATTTTATTTACATGGCTTTTCTTCTGGCATATGATGACCCGTGAGAACAGTGATCATGACTTTTCACGATTTTTCACGATGCCTGGTGCCTGGCACGTGCTTTGTCTATAATGATCAATACATTGGAATTAATTAAAATTAATTAGAGGAAATTAATCATTTATATTGCTTTATAATCGCAAAAAATGAAGAGTCTTTTTTTGTAAAAATGAAAAGTCTTGAGATGAAAATTTGATCTGGGAAAAAATTATATATACATATATGTCATTATGTAAGTTTAATCATAATAATTTTGGTAATCTTAAGGAGAACAAGAATACCCAAACATGATATATTACTGTCAAGCATAGAGTTGAAAAGAAAAAGAATTGCAAGGTGTCTACTAAATATAGTTCAGTCAGTATCTGTTTGTGATGCCATTAGTTACTACCTACTGGCTGGTGTTCAACCATAATCAGCAAATTAATACATTGTATTCCTGATGATACTTCTATTTTGTGCCTAATGGCATATTAAGTTAGCTCACATTGGGTGTCCTGATTAGAATCAATTGGCACATTAGGACATTGTTTATTGAGCATGGCAAATATTTACCTAAATTCCTTTGCTTTCTCATGTTTAAAAATAATATAAAGTATGCTAATGAGGCCTACCAGGTAAAGAAAACTGAAGTGTTCTGTTGAGAATAGGAGCATCCCAGCCCCACAAGTCTTGATTTTCAAATCACTAGGGTCACACCGACTGAGGATGATAAGGGTCTTGGACAGACCTTTGAGTAAAACTAAGTTCTAAGGGGTAGGCAGAGAAAGAGAACCTGCAATAGATGCTGAGCTGTGGCCAAATAAGGAAACACGCAGATTCTAGTGCTCAAGTAATCATCTCAGGGAAGCCAGATAAAGAGGGTTTTAAGAAGAGGGTTTTAACCACAGAGTCTGATGCTGGGATAAAATCAAGTTAATTTAAAATCTAAAAAGCGTTCATTAGTTTGGACAGCAAGGCAGGCAGTTTCAGTGCAGCAGTGGGGAGGAATAAAGGGCTCCACCCTCCAGGGCATAAACATCTATCCCCTCCATGCTCCAAATATCTGTGGTTATTAGCTCTCAGTTGTGGTCCTCAGTGGGATTTGCATCAGCCACTGGGAACTGCCTCACTCAGAATCACATCTTCCCCATGGGTGGATCATGACCAAGCACTTCCTGATACAAGCTAACAAAGACCTCCTGTTTTAATTTAGGATAATTCTAAAGGGCCATGTCAGTTCCATAGCTCTTACGGTTTGGGCTGAGGTCAACAAATTTTCTGTTCATGATTCTTCATTTCAGAGTCCATTTGGGGAAATCCAATCTAAGACAGCTAGTACCAGAATGATCCTACCAAGTGGATTTTAAATTGAGTTTTGAAGATGGCTCTCTCACCGACCAGCTGGCGATGGGACCCCGCCATTGGCAGTGGTTGGAGCATGAATAGCCCCTGGCATGCCCGGATAGCACACTTGCTGAAAATGTAATTGATGGTGAACTGGGATGGAATATCCGTAGATAAGCATGTGCCGACTGCAGAGTGTCTCTGGCATTTTTGAGGAGTGAGTGAAAATACATTCTGAGATTGAGTGGCTATTGCCAATCAATATCGAAGGAGAGCAAGATGGTCTCAAGGTCATAAATAATTAAATAGAGCCAAAATGTGAGAGTCCCAGAGCATCCCTGGCATGCTTCTAAAAGTCCCAGGCTCCTGCAGCTGGAGGGCAGAAAGAGGAGGGGACTAGGTTCACAATTTATTTAGAAGAATAGAGGAACTTCACAGAGGTGGACTTCTCAGCTGGGGAGGTTCTTCTATACCATGGTGGGACCCTAACAGGGGAAGAGTAGGTGCTGCTGAGAGCCTTGAACTCCCACAGTCCCCTGGAACCACTGAGCCTGAAGACGTGGCCCATTCCCTGTTACTAAAAGATAGTGGCTGCCCCTTTGCTTGAAGGTCACACTGAGGACGCAAAGGAGGCAAGTGCCTCCCAATATAGCGGGTCCCCTCCTCAACATCTCCTCTGCGCCCCCCGTGTTATGAAGGGTTAAACCCAAACACAGCTCAGTGGGGGTGCGGGGCCTGCTGGGGGCGGGGAGGGAAGGGAAGCGGCAGGATGGGAACATGCGTACTGGCAGGAAGCAGGGCTGCGTTTCAGACTGGAGCCTGCCGGGGCTGGATCACGGGAATCTAACACGAAGCTGCTCGGAGAAGGAGAAGCGTGATCCGGATGGACTTTACCAGAAGCCCCAGAGAGAGCATCTGATCCTGACCGTCGAGGGCCTCTGTGGCTAGAGTTTCCCTCGTAAGACGTAATCCCCAAGTCATGGGCAGGGCAGGGGCAGGGGCAGGGGCAGCCGAAGTCCATCGTAAGATGGAAGCGTCACATCTGGAGTGAGGCATGAGCCGAGCCGGGAAACCCCAGGGAACCTCCTGAGCCCGCGGCGCAGCTGCTGCGGGGTCTGGGTCGGCCGCTGCTGTCTGGCGCCTGCTTCTCACCCCCTCCTGCTGCGTGGGGACCGGACGCTCGGGCTTCCACAGGGAGGAGAGGACAGGACGGCTGGCGGGTGGGTCGGCTGCTATGGCTGGTGCGATGAAGGATGGAGGTTTCTGTGCCGCAAGGAACAGCTTCCGGCCCAAGAAGAAATTGGTAAGAAGAAGTCCCCCCAAGGGCAGGCTTCCCCTGGCGGACCCAGACCCCCCCCCCATCCCGTGCGACAGACTTGGCCTGAGTTAAGACGCTCCTGAGATCCAGCAGTTCCTGCCCTCCCTTTCCCTCCCTCCCTCCCTTCCTTCCTTCCTTCCTCCTCCTTCCTTCCTTCTTCCCTTTCCTCCCTTCTTTCCTTTCCCTCCCTTCCTTCCTCTTCCTCTTCTCCTTCCTTCCTTCCTCCCTCCCTCCCTCCTATGGGAGAGGGGGAGAGAGAGGGGGCGGGAGAAGGGCGTGGGGCAGGGGGGAGGGAGAGGGAGCCTCACGCAGCCTCGCACCCAGCCCCCGCCCCCCCCCCCCGCGGCTGCAGCCCGCTCCCCGCCCTCCGAGGTCGCGCCCCGGGCGGGGCTGGGGTAGGACGCCCGCCGCGCCGGCCACGCAGGCCCCTCGGGTGAGCCGCTCCCTTCGACGCCGGACCCCTCGGCCGTCGCTCCCTCGAGGTCGAGGCCTTCGCCGCTCCTATCCCCACGCAGCCCGGAGGCAGGCGCGGGGGCCCGGGTGGCCTGACCCCGCCGAGCGGAGCTGCCCGCCGGGGAGCCGGGAGGGGCCGCCCGGGAGCCCCGCGCACCCGCAGCGCAGCGGCTCTGCCCCCCAACCCCCCCCCCCCCCCGGCCCGGCACGAGCGTGTGCTTCTGGCCCTGCGGTGTTCGAGCCCCGGCCTGGAGCTTCGGGTCCCAGGGCCCCGGGGGAGCACGGGCCGCGGTCGGGGGGGGCGTCGTCGGCAGGGGCGGCCCGGAGCTGCCCCAGGATGCGCGCCGCAGGCCCCAGGGGTCGGCGGGACGCGGGGGGCTGCAGCCTGGGGACGGCCCGGTGACCGCGGCTCCCCCAGGGACGGCGCCCCCGCGGGTGCACAGGCCGGCTGCTGGGGGGGGCGCTCCGGGAGGTCGGCGGGGGGCGGGGGGAGGCTTCGGGGAGGGGGGCGGCGCGCTGGGGGCGCTCCGGGAGGTCGGGGGGGCTTCGGAGAGGGGGCGGGGCGCTGGGGCGCTCCGGGAGGCGGGGGGGGGCTTCGGGGAGGGGGGCGGGGCGCTGGGGGCGCTCCGGGAGGCCGGGGGGGTGGGGGCTTCGGGGAGGGGGGCGGCGCGCTGGGGGCGCTCCGGGACGCCAGTGCCTGGGGACGGCCCATCATCGCTTCTCCCGTAAGTCCCCCCGGGGAAGCGGGCCGCGGGGACCCTGGTAGAGCGCTTCCCGTGGGGGCCGAGCCCCGAGGCAGCACGTGGACGTGCGCCCCGCGAGGGCACAGGCAGGGGGGGGGTCCCCTGGAAGCCGCACTCTCAGTCCGGGGCGGGTCCCACCACCTACGCCGGGCACCTGCCCCAGGCCGCAGGACACCGTCGCACGAGGCAGCGAGGCCGGGCCGCCCGTGGGGCATCGAGAGAGGCCCCGGCCGCAGCGCGCGAGGACTCCGGGGCCCCCCCCCGTGCGGGCCTGAGCCGGGGGCGGGAAGCGCGGCGGGGCGCGGGGTGCACCTGCCGGGGGCGGGGCCTGGGTGAGAGGGAGGCGGGGCCTGCAGAGCCGCTGGGGCGGGGCCGGTGTGAGAAGGAGGCGTTGAGGCCAAGGCCCGCCCAGCAGAGAACCTTCGAGAAGCCGGGGCGGGCCGGGAGCTCCTCCTCCTCCGGGCCTGGGCGGGTGGCTCAGGCTGAGCAGGACTCGCGGTCCTCAGCTGCGGGTGGAAGAGCCCCACCCGGGGAGGGCAGGGTGCGGAGGAGGAGGGGGCTCGCCCCGGGGCGCGGGGGCGTCCAGAGCTGGCCCCGCACCCCGTAAACGGGCGGTGCGCGTTCCAACGCCATTCACAACTAGCTCAGTTTTTCAGAAAAATGTGCCACCGCTTTTTATCACAAACTAAATGCTCATATATTCATCAGCCTGATTTTAAACTCACCATTGCACGACCTCTTTATTTCTCATCCAATATTAAAATAAAATTACTCTACTTTTTATGTCACATTTTGAGAATTGATAGGATAAAACATTTCCTTCTCGTTCCTCTTTTTATTTTTAATTTCAAAATTTGTTTCTTATATATGATGTGCTTTACTTCTTGGGTTTATCTTCAGGACTTTTTCATTGCAAATCAAACTTTACATTTTTCAAATGTTTGTCAAGACAGAGAGACCTGTATATTGTATCGATCACTTAATGATCCCCGTATGGAATTTTTATAGGCATTTTCCATTTATTCATTTTCCTTGGTGTTTTTTAGATAGCAAATTTTCTCTTTTCAATAATTTATATCTACTTTACTTCTTGTTAACCTTATTAGCTAGACCCCACTGTACTGTCCTCCAAGGTGAGCAAGGGAGATTCGGGGGCGTTCTCATGGATGGACACCTGTGGGAGGGGGGACAAGAAAGCATGTTTGGGCACATCAGGAGGGTGGGTTGTTATACAAAGCTCAGCCCACCTTTCAGAGTTGTGGCAGGGGACCCCAGGGGCTCATTCACTGGAGCTGGCTCTCCCTGAAGGGGGAGGGCATGACTTTAAACCAGGTGACTCACATCAAATGGTTCAATTCCTGAAGACAGCTGAGCACTAATTGCTGTGTTGGTTTGTGGGCTCCTGGGGAGCTTCCCAGGTGTGATGTGAAACTGGCTCCTGTGCTCAGAGGGCAGAGAGAGGGTGGAGAAAGAGGCAGCCATCCAGGTTGGTAGGTGACTTTTGATAAGCAAAGGGGACTTACATAGGAGGCTTGTCCTGGGAGGCATCAAGAGGAATGGATCACCACATCTGCCCACCGTGTCTTAAAAGTGTATGTAGAGGCCTTTCGTGGGATCGACCACAGGTTCTGCATAGGTGGTCCCAATAGCACATCCCTGCCTCAAGGCTTTGTCCTTGGAGAAGCCTCTAGAAGCAGGAAAGGCAAGCAGAACCCATGGCCCAGGGACAGGAGGGAGGGTGCAGGGCCTCTGATCACCCCGTCCAGCTCACAAGTCAGCAGGTGGTCATGACTTCCGAATGACCTTCTCCCAGCAGGCTGTTGACCAGGCCGCACTCCTGGCAGCCTGCAAGGCCCGGGAAGTGTGTGCCAGGCCTGGAGGGGCCCTGGCTAGCCCATCAGAGCATCCCCTACACTCCTTACATGAGAGATGTTTTGTGTTATGTTTTGAATAGGGTCAGGGATTAACTGATGCCCATAGTTGGGACAAACTGCTAAAATTTACCTGCGCGTTTGTGCTACCCTCTGTGTCGGCGATGTAACTCGATTTCCCCCTTCTAGCTTCCCTTTCCCCATTGTGGCCCCCCTCCCCGGTTGCACCTCTGTGGTGCAACAGCCAGAAGCCTGGGAACTGCATTTTTTGGAGTCTTTACCAGAAGGGTCCATGAATCAGAAACACCTGCTTGAGGTTTGGAGCAAAGAAAAGCAGCAGAGGCCGAGTTACTGCCCTTCAGGCCACAAGGGGCAGAGGCTCGGGCTTGGGCAGAAATGCCGGGGCAGCCTTGGGGGTTTCTAAAAGGTGTCTGCCGCAGGTTGCACGCCCAAAATTACTGACTTTCCAAACCTCATCAGCGTCATCTGGGAACTTCCAACAATGCGAATTCTTGGGCCTGCCCGGAACCTACACATTCAGAAACCCTGGAGGTAAGCGTTGCTCTGAGCTCCCCGGTTCATTCCATACACCGAAGCCCAGAACTGCCCAAGTCTGTTTTCATACAACGGATCACGGCTGGGTTGGTTATCAGGGTTACCTGGGTTTGTTATCAGGGTTACCAGGAGTGGTTCTAAAATCTGCAGAATCCTGGATACCATGAGATACCTCCCCCCAAATAAGACTCTTCAGAAAAAGGGCCTATGACTCCATATGCTCACAGGGAGCCCCAGGAGATTCTGATCGTTGATGGAGTGAGAAGTTGATGGAGTACAGCTCTGTGGTCCTCCCAGTACCTTGTTCCAATCGTATTCCCTTTTTCCTTTTAATTACCAAGGGAGGAAAAAGCATTTATATGAAAAAGCTGTGACATGTTTGGAACAGAGTGCTCAATTAGCGCAAAAAAAAAATTTTTTTTGAAATTTCCATTCTACAGTTAGGCATTACTCGCATCCAAGACTGACTCGCATCAGCACAGTGATGATCTCACCATCCCTGGTGAAACTGCAGCCACCTGGGCTCCGGTCCATAGTGAACTGCATCGCTGGACCTGGGGCATGTTTAACAACAAACACAGCAGCCACCAAAAGCTTGAGAGCCACCGGGCAATTTTCCATGCTTTATATATCCACGATGCCAGAACGTACCACCAGAGGTGCCGTCTGTGCTACAAGGGCAAAGATGACAGAGGGACAGCTACAGAGAGACCTAGTAGTGGCTCTGGGCTTCGGTTTCTTCATGGGTCGGTGAGGGTGTGGAAACAGACCACCTCTAATTTCTCATAAAGTGATAGGACAAAATAAAAAAAAAAAAAAAACATACCATCCTGGGGATCCCTGGGTGGCGCAGTGGTTTAGCGCCTGCCTTTGGCCCAGGGCGCGATCCTGGAGACCCGGGTTCGAATCCCACGTCGGGCTCCCGGCGCATGGAGCCTGCTTCTCCCTCTGCCTGTGTCTCTGCCTCTCCTCTCTCTGTGTGACTATCATAAATAAATAAAAATAAAAAAAGTGATAGGACAAGACTGCGTATTCTCAACCTATACACACAGCCACTTCGAAGAACCATAAATAACGTGATATGACTTTCCACGGGGCATCCTGCTTGACCACATCATTTATTGCATTAGCTAGAGGAAAATATTTTAGTTTTATTGCCCTGTTCAAAATGAAGAGAAAAGAGAGAGGTGTCTCTAAGTATTTTGTTCATATTTTGATCAATTTCTTATAAATTTGTTATTTCTTTTTTACTTGAAATATCTAAAATGCTGATAATCTTGGACAATCTTAAGGTGACTGAATTAGATCTTACTACTAAATGAAAATATTAAATACTTAAGTAGCACAAAGTCAGTAATATACAAAAGTATCACATTTTGTCTCCGTGTTTAATTTTTTAGGCATAGCTGTTCTGTATTAGAAAAATATAATCCACACATATTTGCTAGCTAGCAGCTAACAGTGACTACATGTTTAACTAGTCAGGCTTTTTATGATTTAGTTAAAAATGAATTTTAGACTGTAAATTAGGTAATGATAATCTATACGCTCATAGTGAAATTAAACCCACGTTGAGAAGCATCCAGCACATGTCTTGAATTGGTATTTAGTAAATGTGTTTTGAATGGTGTGTACTCCCCAAAATATTTTTGACACAAACAATGATTCTTAAAAACACCTTCTGCATAATGTGAATAACGAATAGTAAGTCTTTGGGCTTACAGAGGCTTTGGTTTTCTTTGTCTCCGATTTTAGTGTATCTTAAGATAATTTCCTATTGCCCTGAAATTACTCTGAATAAATTAAAAGTGCTAAAGGGCATGGCAACTGCAGACACCACAGCATTTCTTCTGTAATGGAATTTTGGTGTGTTCAGGGACCATCTTATTGAAGAAAGATGAATCAGGAACCATTTGTGTGAAGGTAAAATTGAGCAACCCTCCAAAATTGATTTAAAGTTCTCAAGTTGTTTGGTGATTTAATCTCAAATTAAATAAAGAGCGTTGGTTTGCTGGCTTTTACTTACTAAGATGCTCCCCAAAACTAATTTAATAGTCATCTTATTTCTGGAATATTCCAGTCTGGTAAAGTGCTATGAGTTAATGACAAGGAAAGGACTCAGCCATGGCTAATCGTCATGGTCCAATAAAGCTGAGACTGTTTACCTTCAGGGCTCAGTTCAGGATCTGTTTAGCCAGATTTTTCCTAATTGAGGAGAAACCAGCCAGATCCTTAGTTTCAAAATTGCATCATTTCCCCTTTTTTTTCTTGATGGCTTGGCTTTTATGTTCATGATTCTTATGATGTTTATTATTGGTACATTTTTAGAAATAAAAGTGTTGAGTGATTATTATGTTTTTGGCCTGAGTGTAGATTGCATTTTATATAACTGGTAAAAAATAATACTGATGCAATAAAATGTATAGTTTGTATAAAACATACCAAAATTATTTTAAAGCATTAAATTATTGAATATGAAAATTTCTTACTATTCATCATTTGGCATGAGAAATGTTATTATGCTGAGCAGAAAGGCCAATGTTAATATCTTTGACATTGAGGGACTCCGTCTTTGAAAGAATGAAGTTTATTTTATATTTTAAAAAACCATCAAATTCCTAAGTTATATTTGATCTGATTAAACTACATGCAGTTAAAGAAAAAGTCAATTTACTTTTAATAAGAATTAATCAGAATTTTGAAATAATTTGTGTGTATTTGAGAAACATCAGACTTGGCAAAATTGAATTTTCCTTAGTAATATTTTGCTGTAAGAAAAAGAGCCTTCTTTTTGTTCTTCTAAAGAACAATAATGCCGCATAAAGAATAATGAATTAGCATAATCAGAGTAAGATGTACTTGATTCTGAGTTCTAAGATAGCCAGCCAGCCCCAGATACTAGACTTTGTCAAAACTTCTAGTAACTCACTTTAGACAGAAACATAGGCCAGAAATACCAGTCATGATAATACTGGACAAGCTTCTTCTAAACTGTGAACAGTAGACTGTCAGAGTATTATACATTCTATTATGTATGACATAGTCTAAAAACATGGCTTTCCCTCCCTTGTTAGAATAAAATTCTAAAGAGCAGAAGTATCTGCATAGTAGGTATTTTGAGATTTTTCAAGCTCTGTATTTACTTCTCGTGTCGGTAATAAAATAAAAGCATACCATGGTTTCCTAATCTTTGATCCTGTAATACACAAGGTGTAAAACTAAAAGGATCGCTTATATATAAATAAAAGAATAAAGAGGCACCTGGGTGGCTCAGTTGGTTAAGAGGTTGACTTCCGTCTGGTCATGATCTCTGGGATCCAGCTCCCTGTTCAGCAGCAAGTCTGCTTACCCCTCTCCCTCCCTCTCTGCCCCTCCCCTAGCTCCTGTGCATGCCTGTGCACACCTCTCTCTCAAATAAATGGATAAAATATTTAATAAATAAGAGAATAAAGAAAAATCGGTTCCTCTAGCAAAAAAGGTAAATTCTTTTTAAAAGTTTCATTTCCAAAATGATTACCCAAGACTAGCGGTTCTCAAAGTGTGGTGTCTGGACCGGCAGCAGCATCACCTTCGTGCTCTATAAATGCAGATTCTCAGGGGCCGCCCACAGCTACTGAATCAGAAACTTTATTTTTTTTTTATTTTAAATTTTTTTTTTAATTTTTATTTATTTATGATAGTCACACAGAATGAGAGAGAGAGAGAGAGGCAGAGACACAGGCAGAGGGAGAAGCAGGCTCCATGCACCGGGAGCCTGACGTGGGATTCGATCCCGGGTCTCCAGGATCGCGCCCTGGGCCAAAGGCAGGCGCCAAACCGCTGCGCCACCCAGGGATCCCTGAATCAGAAACTTTAAAAGTAGAGCCCATCTGGCTGAGTTTTGACAAGCTCTCCATGCAATTCTATGTCCACTGCAGTTTGAGAACACTTACCTTAGACCAAAGAACCTAAGTTAACAAAACTAAAATAGTTAGATCTGCATTGCTGGGTTGACTCTTTGGTTCTCGCTGAATCTCAGTCTTGCCCACTGATCCCGCTTGGAAATGTTGTCAAGACCCCAACCCACATCCAATGAATCAGAATCTCTGCCTTAGCATCAGCATTTAAAAACGTCTCTGGTGGTCCTGTTGAGCAGCAGGATGGAGTGACACGGTTATTAGCTCCGGGTACCTGCTGTCTGGCTCAACCACTGGCTGCATGTTCAGCATAGACTACCGTGCGGTGATTCTTGTTGCCCCTTTCTGTCGATCCTGAATCCCTGTTTTCCCTTGCAACCCCATTAGCTGAAGCTACGGAGAGCCAAAGAGAGCATGGCTCAGCTACCAACATAGCTTATATGGGAGTTGTTCCCATTTGAGGAACTTTTATGTTCAGTTTAAAAATCAGCCCACTATCTCTCGGATTACGAAATAGGCTTCACTACTGTTATTCCTGCTCTGTATTATCTTTTCAATCTCTTCTCCACATAATGCTGTAGCCAGCATTTTCTTTCTAAAATATAAATCTGATCATATCCAGTTCTCAAAAAATGGCTTTCAGGGCCGCCCATAGAGGGGGTCCCGGCTTCCTCCACCACCGTTTCCCTCCCCGAATTCCTTCTATGCTGCAGTCACACAAAATGTGTAGTTTAGTTTGTTAGTTTGAACGCAGCCCATTTTCTCTCAACAGGAGACATGTTCCTCTCCCTGCTTGGAACACACACTGCTCTCTGACAGACAGGTGGTCGCCTCACCATCACTCATTCATCCAAGACTTCGATAGGATTTCTTTCAACTTAAAGGATCTCAAAGCTTGAGGCAACACTCTGAGGTTCCTTAGAATCTCCCTTATGACTTTTTGTGATAGAACTTGCTTACTTACCTGGAATTCCCAGTGGACTTAAAAAATTAAAGAAGGGGATTGTTCATGTATTTCTTGTTAATTTTTCATCTCCTACAGCTCCTCATCTAACACAGAGCTAATACATAACCGTTTTCAATAAGCTTTTATTGAGTAAACGAAAAGATGAATTTGAAACCACCAAAAGACCGGTAATACAACCAAATAGCAAGTTAGAAGTAACCAAGAAATGCACCAAAGGAAAAACAAAAAGACAATATAGAGTCAGGAGTGAAAGCTGTGCGTAAATTGTGTGGCGATAGACATAGGGCCCAGATGGCTGAGCTCCAAGGCAAATGACCTTTTGCCTACACCAGCCTGGCACTTTAGTCCTTTCCTTTCCATCTTGCATGAAGTAACTGTCTTCTGGCAAAACATTTCAGACATGCCTCTGTTTTATTATAGAGAAATGCATTTCTCTTAACCAATCAGCATTTCCCATTCTGTGTTCCTCAAGCACTAGATATACAAGATTTTCATAGATATTCCATATAAAAATGTTCTCTGGCCAAATAGGTTTGGGAGGTATTAGATTAAATTAAACAGCTTTCTTTTTTTTAATTTTTTTAAATTTATTTATTTATGATAGTCACACACACAGAGAGAGAGGCAGAGACACAGGCAGAGGGAGAAGCAGGCTCCCTGCAGGGAGCCCAACGTGGGACTTGATCCCTGGTCTCCAGGATCGCGCCCTGAGCCAAAGGCAGGCGCCAAACCGCTGCGCCACCCAGGGATCCCAACAGCTTTCTTTAGTAGAGATGTATTCAGAATCTTTATTGTGCTAACCTGTTTTGTTAATCCCCAAAAGAGAAAAATAGTAAGCATTTGTTTGGATTTATTTTTTCTGAGATACTTCTTGCAGAAGTAATTGTCACTTAATTGAAATAGTTTGAGAAACGGTAGTTGAAAGGTATCAGGAAATTTTCTACCCTAAATTTTCTACCCTTTCTACCCCTAATTTTCTTTCCTAAGGGGGAAAAGGAGGACAGCATTACGGACATTCCTCCGTCCTTCAGGAAATTAATCGATCAGAATTATTTTCTGAAACATGGGAACTTTGTGAGCTTACAAAAATAACTATGTGTAGAAATGGTGATTGATTTCTATATTTTCAATGCTATTTAAAAGTATGCAGTAAATATATATACTGCATACAGTATAAGTGCAAAATATTCATCTTTCTATAACTACACATTCATGTTGAACATAAATTCACTGTGGTGCATAGATTTTTCTGAAATGTAAAAAGTATAATTGTGTAACAGTTCAGAGAAAAAGAATAGTAATTATGCCAGTTGCAATAGACAGAAAAATATTCAGGCCCCTAAAGGGGCCCTGAGAGAGATAATATGGGACCTTTTTGGAGTCTTGGAACTTGGGTTTCAGATTATATTGAACAGTGGAGTGAGGCACCATTCAATTCCAAAGTCAGGCTTTGGGTGTCCGTGGGTAGCGTTAGTGGGCACCTCTACTCTGTGTATGCATTTATACTTAGGAGGCTCCCAGGAGGAAAAGCACACCTTGACTGCTGAGACTTAAAGGCATAAAAGCCTAACTGACTAGAGTGTGGCCAACTGAGTGAATCTTGCCCTTCTCAAACTCCCTTCAGTAAGGGAAGCTGGACTAGTGAAGAACACTTAGTACCAAGGTCTAAGTTATCTGAGGAGGGTGACTTTTCAGGCACATTGTACACTTAATTCCAGAACTTCTCTAAATGGCCATTGTGGCACTGAGGGGAAACTTAGAGATGGATAGTTTGACAGGTTCATGTCCTAAGAGCCATTGCAAGTCTCTCTTCTACATTGAGACACGGAAGTCGTTACTGTAGGATCCCTAATTGGGATTATTTTACAGGGGCCTAGTGGACAGCATGTGTGTGTGTGTGTGTGTGTGTGTAGGTGTTTACATGCACACATGAGTTCTATTTCCCCTGAGGAAATGCTCCTCTTCCTTTTATAGCGGTTCTGAGGGGGACTGTCACATAGTCCTAGCCTCTCCTAGCCATAGGACTGGGCCCCAGTTTGGCCTCTCTCATCTGGATAACTTCTATCCCCAATCAATGAGTGTGGTATTCCAGCAGGTGAACATGGAACCCCAGTAGGACTTGAGTCCTTCCTGAGATTAGATAAACCTTGGGAAAGAGAGAGGCTTGCTTTCTTTTTACTCATAAAGCACGGGCATAATGAGACTGACAGAGGTTCTCTTTCCTGCAATATGGAAAAGCTTGTATTGACAATGAAGTTGTCCCAAAGAGAGAAGCAGAGTCCAGAGACAAAGAAACTGAGACAGCTTTGTTAGAGACCTGGATCAAAATGTGCTCCAAGTCTACCCCACGCTTTGACTACCTATGTGTATAAATCAATACTTAATTTACTTACTTATTCAATACTTAAGCTAGCTTGAATTTGCTTTGGTCTCTTCTAAAGAGAGGCTTTTACTAATGGCGAGACCTTTTCAGAAGGAGGAGGCAGGAAATGGATGAGGCCACTGGCAGAAGTTTTCATCAGGAGCACGGCATGGACTCAGGAAGAGGGGTTTGGTGCTCAGGTGAGCCACAGACTTGGAGAAGTGCTCAGGCTTCCAGCAAAGCTAGCAGTGCTGTTCTATGTCCAGTTGCACCACCAGAAAGAACAGCCATTGGTCACTGTGTCAGTGTCACAGGGCCATGCTCAGGTAATGGTGGGAAGGGGTTTGGAAATGCAGTTTGACCTCTGGGAGCCTTACTTGAGGTTTTGCTCCCTTGGAGTCTGAAGAGTAAGTCCAATGACAACATATTTCATAATCCAGCACAAGCATGTGTTTGAAATTTCTAGAAAAACAGAAGTCCCTACAAATACTGTAATTTCTGTAAGCAAGATTGGTGGAGGTTCATAGGATGGTGGCTTAAGGTGCACTTTTAAGTGAATCTCAGACTTCCTACATGGAAAAGAAATGAGAAGCAGTCATTCCACAGAAAGGGAAATCTTGACAATGAAACCTTGGCAGATTTATAAGGCTTGTAAAGAACATCAGACTGATGAGACAAAGTGAAATTTTGGAGGGGGGTGTGAGAAATAAGACTGGCTAGTTAGAAGGCTGGGTTCCAGTGCAGCTTGTCAGGGAAGTTTAAATTGAGTTTAATAGGAAATAGTGGGTAAAAAGAGGGTCTTCTATCTCCAAATAATACAAATTTAGCATCATTTATTTAACTTGGTTTCTTTTTTTTTTATTTAACTTGGTTTCAATGTAAATACAATTACACTTATTTCTAGTTAGTTGTTTGAATTTTCAGTTTTCCTTCTATAGCAAAGATCCTCTCCAAGATGTCCTACTGTATTCTAACTCCAACGCCACACTAAATTGTCCAAAAACCAAGGAGCTTACTCTTAAAGGAGATTAGTTGTGCTTCCAAACACTGGATACGAAGAGGAGACTATAAAAATCCCATTAGCCCATTACCAGCATTGGTTTGGTCATGAGCGTCTCCTACAATTAGATGATGTTTCTCTCCTTCAGACATGCACCTGCCCAGGAGGGAGTGGTGACCGTCTTTCGGCTTCAAGGATACAGACCTTAACTAAACATTTATCTCTAGAGGCTGTTTCCAAAAACAGGATACAGTACCACAGCGGCCGGGTCCGAACTCCTGCTGCCTCACAGGGAAGCCAGAGCGCAGGGATGTTCTTAGAGCATAAACTCAAAATTCCACGAGCTCTGCCTCCCAGCAGCTGATCCTGGAGTACATTTTGCTGTCCTGCTGCAAACTGGCTGCGAGTTGAACAGTGCCAAGTGTTCTTAAGAATGTGGATAAACTGCAAGTCTTAGAAAATGCTGCTGGGAGGACAAATTGCTACACCCACCTTGAAACACAATTCCACATTTAGCAGCATTCAAGTTATGAATATGCTTATACACAGTAATTTTCCCTAAATATAAGCTCAAGATGGGCATGTTCATGGCTGTATTGACAAAAGAAGGGGAATTGATTGAAATGTTTGGCAATGGGGAACGACTGCATAAACTATGATATGGTCATACGATTTATTAAAATTCAGCAGTGAAAATACATAAACAAGAGCTATACACATCAACGTGGATAAGCCTCACAAACAGTGTTGTGCAACAGTAGCCAAAGCAAGTTGTAGAAGAACACGTGTAGTTTGAGGCCATATATCATTTCAAAAATATGAAAAACTAACCATATATAGTTAAGGACCGTGTACCTGTGTGGTCAATTGATAAAGAAACACAGTAGAATGATAAACACAAACTTCAGGACCCAGGTTAGCTCTGGGGGGGGGGGGGGGATGGCGAGAGCTGCGGTCAGTTAGCCGTGTAGGGGCCCCAAAGATACTATACCTAATACAGAAAACACTAGTTTTATTCTCTCAACCATATACACACACTGTGTGTGTTGTGCACACCACCCATCTACATACAAACGTAGATATAATTTCATAATTAAAAAATTTTAAAGGGTCATTTTAGTGGGCTCCGTAGTTATATAAGTGCAAATCCAGTCAAAAAATCTTTTTTTTTTTCAGTTGATCAGGTTTTATTTGAATGATTACATATTTTATTTTCACGTGTATCACATAAACATAACCTGCCCTTCCAACCTGTAATTTCACAGACACTCGGTCAGGGGACTGGCAAAGCTGATTTAAAGAAATAATTATTAATAAACCAGTGGTATTGTGATATGCGAAATCACAAAGTTGGTTCATAATAGTGGTAGTAGCCACCGATGGGTAAGAGCACTTAGGATGAGCCAGGCACTTTTGGTAAATGTTTTACAAATATTGTTCTTGCATAATCTCCACTCCTGATTCCTGGAGAAAAACAGCAGTGATTTGATCACATGTCCAGCTGCATGCAAGATTATAAGCTGCATGAAGGCAGGCACCAACGCCTGGTTCATTATTTAGTTTGCAAAGAGTTTGCAAGTACTTGCATAAAAGTCTCCTGGGCTTTCTGAGAGAGGAAAGACCAAACTACCGACCCCGCCCAAGCTGTTCTCTGCAAACAACCAGATACTTGTGACCAGACCATGAAACACTGGGAGAGTTTAATTACACAAAAGGCTTCCTGTGGACAGTGACCCCTCACAGCTTCCAGCAGTTTTACCTGCAGGTCTCCCCCATCCAGGCACCTGTGCCTGCAGGTGAGCCTCCTGTGTACCCGTCTGCGTGTGTTCAACGTTTCTACTCTTGCGACGCCTTCTCTCTCTTCCTTTCTTACCTACTTTCCTGGGTATTGTTTGTTTTATCTTCATTATCTACTTTCCAAATTCTTAAAGTTCAAAATAATAGGGAGAGATGGGGTGGAAGAGAGAAAAATAGGATATACTTCTAAAAAAATGTTCCAAGGGCATCTGGGGGGCTCAGTGGTTGAGCGTCTGCTTTCAGCCCAGGGCATGATCCTGGAGACCCAGGGTGGAGTCCCACATCGGGCTCCCTGCATGGAGCCTGCTTCTCCCTCTGCCTGTGTCTCTGCCTCTCATGAATAAATAAATAAAATCTTAAAAAGTATATGTTTAAATCTACTCCTTGTGTCCTTGTAGGCATTCGAGGGAGTCAGTTCCTCCCTTATTCAGTAAGTATATGTAAAAATGTTTTGCTCTGTATTAAGACTTATCAGAGGCTTTAAAAGTCTAGAAAGAGGAGCTAGGTATGCTGTTAATTTCCAAATTTGTTTAACAAACTATTTCCCTCTTTTTCAAATGCCTATCCTGAATAATACTGTATTCAGTGAAATAATGATGGGAAATACTGAGTTTGAATTAACGACCATGAATGTTTCATAGTAAAAGACGAAGAAGTTAAATGTTACACTTTCCTACAGTAAATGTTGGTAATAAAATATTTTACTGAATTCTCCTTTTTTTTAAAGATTCTTATTTTAACTCCAATTAGTTAACGTACAGCATTATATTGGTTTCAGGTGTACAGTGTAGAGATTCAACAATTTGCCACATCACCCAATGTTCATCACAAGTGCCCTCCTTAATTCCCATCACTTATTTCACCCATCCCCTCACCCACCTTCCCTCTGATAAACCATCAGTTGAGAGTCTGTTCCTTGCTTTTTCTTTCTCATTTTTTCCCCTTTGCTCATTTGTTTTGCTTCTTAAATTCCACATATGAGTGAAATCATATGGTATTTGTCTTTCTTTGACTTACTTCACTTAGCATTATACTCTCTAGCTCCACCCGTGTCATGGCAAATGGCAAGATTTCCTTTTTTTTTTTTTTTTAGCTTAATAATATTCCAGTAAATATCCAATAGTGCTATTCTTGAACCAGAGGGTAGCTCTATTTTTAACTTTTTGAGGGACCTCTAGACTGTCTTCCACAGTGGCTGCAGCAGTTTACATTCCCATGAAAAGTGTAAGAGGGTTCCCCTTTCTCCTGGCCAGCACCTGTTGTTTCTTGTGCTGTTGATTTTAGCCACTCTGACAGGTGTGAGGTAATAGCTCCTTGTAGTACTTTTGTTTTTCCATAGTGATAAGTCATGATGAGCATCTTTTAATGTGTCTCTTGGCCATCTATCTGTGTGTCTTCTTTGGAGAAATGTCTGTTCATGTCTTCTGATTTTTAAGTGTGGATTATTTGGTGTTCAGTGGTGTAAGTTTTTTTTTTAATTTTTTTTTTTTTGGAAACTAACCCTTTATTTGATGTTATTTGTGAATATCTTCCCCATTCAGTCGGTTGTCGTTCAGTTTTGCTGATTGCTTCCTTTGCTGTACAGAAGGTTTTTGTTTTGATGTATTCTCAATGGTTTATTTTTTCTTTTGTTTTCCTTGCCTCAGGGAAGCTATCTAGAAACAAGTTGCTATGGCCCATGTCAAAGAAGTCACTGCCTATGCTCTCTTGTAAGATTTTTATGGTTTCAGTTCTCACGTTTAGGTCTTTCATCCATGTGGGATTTATTTTTGTGTATGGTGGAAGAAAGCGGTCAGATTTCAATCTTTTGTAGTTAGCTGTCCAGTTTTCCAAAACCATTTTGTAAAGCAACTGTCTTTAACCCATTGCATATTGTTTTTTGCTTTGGTAAAGTTCAATTGACCATGTAATTGTGGGTTTTGGGTTTTCTATTCAATCTATAGATCTTTATGTCTACTTTTGTGCCAGAACCATACTTTTTTGATTACTACAGCCATGTAATATAACCTGAAGTTATAATCTGAACTGTTACTATTCAGGTTCTTTTGTGGTTCCATAAACTTTAGGATTGTTTGTTCTAGTTTTTTGAAAAATGCTGTTAGTATTTTGATACAGATTGCATTAAATCTGTAGATTGCTTTGGATAGTATAGACATTTTTTTAAAAGATTTTATTTATTGGGGTGGGGCCGGGGTGGGGCCAAAAAAAAGAAAAAGAAAAAAAAAAGATTTTCTTTATTTATTCATGAGAGACCAGAGAGAGAGAAAGAGGCAGAGACACAGGCAGAGGGAGAAGCAGGCTCCACACAGGGAGCCTGATGTGGGACTCGATCCCGGGTCCCTGAGATCACACCCTGGACCAAAGGTGGCGCTAAACCACTGAGGCACCCGGGCAGCCCTGGATAGTATAGACGTTTTAACAGTATTTGTTCTTCCTATCCATGAGCATGGAATGCCTTTCCATTTCTTTGTGTCCTCTTCAATTTCTTTCATCAGTGTTTTACAGCTTTCAGAATACAGGTCTTTCACCTCTTTGGTTAGGTTTGTTCCTTGGTATCTTACTGTTTTTAGTGCAATTGTAAATGGGGCTGATTCCTTAATTTCTCTTTCTGCTGCTTCATTATTGGTGTTTAGAAATGCAACAGATTTCTGCATATTAATTTTGTATCCTGTAATTTTACTGAATTCATTGATCAGTTTTAGCAGATTTTTGGAGGAGTCTTTCAGGTTTTCTATATATAATATCTATCATGTCATCTGCAAATAGTGAAAGTTTTACTTCTTCCTTACTGATTGAGATGCCTTTATTTCTTTTCATCCTCTAACTGCCGTGGCTAGCATTTCTAGTACTATGCTGACTAAAAGTGATGAGAGTAGACATCCTTGTCTTATTGCTGACCTTAGTGGAAAATCTCTCAGTTTTTTTTCCAATTAAGGACAATGTTAGCTGTGGGTTTTCATTTTTGCCCTTAATTATGTTGAGGTGTATTCCCTCTAAACCTACTTTGTTGGGATTTTTTACCATGAATGGATATTGTACTTTGTCAAATGCTTTTTCTGCATCTATTGAAATGATCATAAGGTTCTTAACTTTTGCCTTGTTGATGTAATGCATCATGTTGATTGATTTGCAAGTATTAAACCACCCTTGCAACCCAGAAAAAAATCCCACTTGATCGTGGTGGTGATTTTTTTTTTAAATATATGGTTGGATTTGGTTTACTATTTTGTTAAGGATTTTTGCATCTGTGTTCATCAGAGGAATTGGCCTGTATTTCTCTTTTTTGTGTGTAGTGTCTTTATTAGAATAATGTTGGCCTCAAAGAATGAATTTGGAAACTTTCCTTCCTGTTCTATTTATTGGCATAGTTTGAGAAGAATAGGTATTAGCTCCTCTTTAAGTGTTTGGTAGAAATCACCTGTGAGGCCCTCTAGTCTTGGACTTTTATTTATTGGGAGATTTTGATTACTGGGTCAATTTTTTTTAATATGTTTGTTCAAATTTTCTTTCTTGGGACACCTGGGTGGCTCAGCAGTTGAGCGTCTACCTTCAACCCAGGGTGTGATC